TTTTTTCCCCGCATTTCTATTCACTCTATTATATTTTATAAATGAATGAAAAATTACAAACATATTTGAAAGCACAAAACTAACGTATACCATTTTTGCTATATACCTGTTTCCTATTTCTTTCATTTCACAATTTTTTTCTAAAATTTTTTTTTTNTTTTTTTTTAACTTTAAACAATTAATTAATGAGTAGCTGATTTATATCTTTGAGAAAGTACATTGTTAAATGTTATTTTTTTTTTATAATAATTTCTTCCACTTCTCTTTCTCATTTCTTTTTTCCCTCTCTTTTTCCTATTCTTTCTTTTCATTTACATTACAGTTATTCCAAACATATTTTAATAAATGTCCCACTTACATGTCTCTCTCATTTGACCCTATTTGACCTTTTTAATTTAATCCTCTTTTAACATTTAATTCAATTTTTCTTCCTTCATTTCAATTTTGTTTCATAAATTTTTGTGATAAAAGTAATCGAAATTTTTATTCACTTTCGTTTCTTACCTTTTATCTTTCTTAATTAACATTAATTACTATTGCAAATAATAAACAAACGAAAAAAATTGATCAAATTGAATGAATTTGTTCATTTTATATTGCAAAAGTTTCAAATAAAAAATGTTTGTTTTTTGTTTTTTTTTGTGATATTGAAATATCAATGAACTGATAAGTTGAATAAAACATGATTAAATAATTTAAAAAAATATGAATGCATACTTTCAACCAATCCACCTATATTATTCAGTCTTAATTTTAATTAGCTAAATTTACAATTTAATTAAAACATAATTTTAGTTAATATGACCAAATTAACTAGGTGACAATCATCAAATCAATTTGCTTTAAAAATGTTAGCTTTATTTATGACTATGCATTTTACAATTTAAACAAATATTTGTCCAAAGATTGAAATACTTACTTCCACATTTTGCTTTTCTTTCATTCTATACGTGTTCCTTTGTTAATTAATTAATTTATTCTAATTAAAAATTTGTTAAATTTAAGTATATTTTAATTGCAAAAAATGTGCGACATTTTTCACTATTTTAGAAAAATAATGAATGTTAAATAAAAGGCATAGCACTAACGTTTCCCTAATTATAATCCTATCAAATTCCGGTAAATCCGGAAAATCATCTTTATCATGTTATTGATATATTTTATATCGTTACTTCAAATTGCATATATGAGGTTTGTCATTTAAATTTTAAATTTTAAATTTATAATGGAATCAATTATGTGCCATTAATTAATGATTAGATTATGATTTTCTTTCCTTTTAAACAATATATACAATTCGATTTATTGAATATTCTCGGAAAGATCAAAGCAAACATAATTTTAGATATATAGGACCAAATTTTGATTTCAACAAATATCACAGTTTGGAAGAATATGAAAATTATTTGGAAAGTATAGCAAAAGCATTTCCGGATTTAACACAATTACGGATTATCGGATTTACACATGAAAAACGACGATTGCTTTGTTTAAAGGTATTCATTAATTAAAAAGCTCTTGAAAACAGGTAGTTATTAGTATGTAATTTAATGAAATTTAATGAAATTTTAAAGGTTTAATGCTTTTTAATTTAATGAAATTTAATAAAGATTTAATGAAATTTTAAACTTAAACAATTGCTACCTTTATTTAACCTTTCTTCCTATTACATGTATTATTTCAAAAAGTAGAAAAGAAAAAGGAAGAGAGAGAAAAAAGTAAGAATAAAAAGAAAGAAAGAAAAAAACTTTTGAAAATTCTAAAATACACAGAGCAAAAGAAAAAATGAAAAAATTGCTTTCTAATAAAAAATTTTTCATTTAAAATTATAATATTGATCAATAACAAATGAAATTTCAATATTTTTTTTCCAAAAATTTTTTCCATTTTAGTATTTTTTGTGCTTTTTTTTTTTTAAATTTACGGAGTTTATTAAAGCTTTTTTTTATTGCAAAAAAAAAAAAAATGGTTGATAAAAAAAGTAGTGGAAAATTGATAAAAGAAGAAGGAATTTTTCTTGGTGACAATAAAAAATTTGAATAAATTATAATGAATTGATAAAATATTATACAAAAAAGAAAAACAAGGAGTGGATGTTAAGGATGTTATTAAAAAAAAAAAAAAGTGAATGAAGAAGGAAAGGAAGAAGAAATATGCATATGTTTTAAATTTTGATACAAAATTTTATTATCAGTTAATTCTTGTATTTATCATTAATTCCATCTTATGATCGGTAATCCAATACAAGCAAATGAAAAACGTATCATATGGATTGATGGTGGTAATCATGCACGAGAATGGCCAGCATTTCATACGGCTACATTTTTTATTAACAAGGTATTCATTTGGTTTAAAATGACAAATGCTTTCCTAGAACAATAATAATTTAATAATAATAATAATAATAATAATAATAATAATAATAATAATAATAATAATAATAATAATAATAATGTAGTAATACAACAATAATAAATAACAATAATAATAATATAGCAATAATAATAAATAAATATAACAATTAAA